AAATATAATAAAAAGGCAAAATAAAAGGGCAAAATAATTAAAATGCAATTAAAATATATATTCTAAAAATTGTTTAGTGGCAACATGCATGCTTTTCTTCTTCCCTAATGATTCCTCTTCCCTCTGTCATCCCCACTGGAAGGACCCAGAGAACAGGGATGAAAATACAGTGGTGCCTTGCAAGACGATTGCCTCAAGGGACGAAAAACCTGCAAGACGATTGGTTTTTGCGATCCCTATGGTGCCTCGCAAGACGTTTTTTTCTATGGCCATGCTTCGCAAGACTCCCCCCCCCCGAAACTGCTGCTTCCCAAGACGAATAAATTTCATTCGTCTTGCGAGGATCCCATAGGGAAGATGATTTTTTTCACAAGACAGTGATTTTCACGGAACAAATTAAAATCCTACAGGGTACCAATCGTCTGGTTTATCTGAAGCAGCTTTTGCGACTCTTGCTTTGGAAAGGAGCCTCAAGGCAGAGTGGTTAAACCGCAGTACTGCAGCCAAACCTCTATGCATGGCCCGGGTTCAATCCCAGGCCGCTGGCTCAAGTTTCACTCAGCCTCCCATCCTTCTGAGGTTGGTAAATTGAGGACTCATTTCATTGGAGCAGGGGGCAAGGTGTACCCTACCTCCTTGAACTGTAAACTGCCCAGAGAGTGGTTTAAGCGCTATGGGGTGGTATATAAGCAGAACACGCTGTTTTGTTGCTTGGCTTTGAAAAGCACAGAGGAGCCACTGATTTCTAAGGTAGAGGTGGCTAGCCTAGTGCCAGCCTGATGCTCTGGAGTGCAGCGTCTGTAAATCCCTAGCCACGGCCAGTCCATGCTGACGGGAGCTTACGGAAGCTGCTGTCCAAAGTAGCTGGATGGCATCAGACTGCCTGACCGCTCATCCCAGGCTTGCCAGCAGACCCGAAAAGCCCATGTTTCCAAATCAGACTCCCTCCAGTCTCACAGATGTCATTGAGATGGGCAACCTTTATGAAAGCCACACTGAAAATGTAAGCGAAACATCAAGCCATCGCACAACACAAGTCAATGGGGAAAGAAAGGGAAGGAATTTTTAGCATGTATATATTACTGAAACAGCGACGGCTATGTTGGCTTGGGGACGTCGTGAGAATGGCTGATGGTCGGATTTCAAAAGATCTCCTGGATGGAGAATTAGTGCAGGGAAATCGCCCCAGAGGGAGACCACAGCTGCAATACAAGGACATCTGCAAGCGGGATCTGAAGGCCTTAGGAATGGACTTCAACAGATGGGAAACCCTGACATCTGAGCGTTCATCCTGGAGGCAGGCGGTGCATCACGGACTCTCCCACTTTGAAGAGACCCTTGTCCAGCAGGCCGAGGCCAAGAGGCAGTCCCGAAAACAGCCAAACCAGGGAGCTAGACAGGGGACAGATTGTATTATGTCTTCAGTGTGGAAGGGATGGTGTCTCTCAAATCAGCTTTCTCAGCCACACTAGACGCTGTTCCAAGTCCTCCATACAGAGCATGTGGCCATAGTCTCTCGAGACTGAAAGATGCCTAATTTAATCCTCACACTGCACAAGCGGGTCTTTCCACTGTTTGACACACCATTTGTTTTAAAACACCAGACTCTGGCCAGCTCCAAAGGGACTTTGCAAAGTCCACAAATTACCGAGCAAAATAAAATTTTAAGTCGGCTGCAAATGGCAATCCAAAAAGAGTAACTTTTCTCCTTCCTACACCTGCTCACAAATGGTTTCTGTGGGCAGGTAGGAAAGAAAAACATACAATGCGTTCCAAGAGACAATGTGATGCCTTTTAAAGCACCAAGCTCATTTTGACAATTATCTTGCAGGCACCGAGTACCACCATCCCTGTCAATCTGCCTTTGTTTCCCCATTACGGGGACCTCTCCTCTCGCCCTCACACAGACTGGCAAAGCACACGCATCCCCTCGCCTGCTATTCTTCCCACAGATAATAGAGAATAAATTGCAATTAGATTTGGTAATTGTAGATAATTAACTCAAAATGAGAAGTTAATTATAAAAAATATGTTTTTCAGGTGTTGATTGTATCGCACGTCTTTCTCCCCCCCCCCAAAAAAAAAACCCTCTTATGTCTCGCTTGAACAAGTTGAACATTTTAAATACCGGTACTTTTTTTTTACCTTTAAAACGCAAAATAAAGAGCTGTAAGACCATTTAAAAAGGCGCTCCATTTTTCTGAGAATTAAAATTACATTTTCGCCCCAGAGAAGAGTGGGTGGGTAACTATGGGGAAAGGGAGCAGTAAATGTAGTTCTTTTCTCTCTTATGTGAATCCTACGCTCCTCTTCAGCAACAGAAATGATTCTGGCTTTTCAATGACACAGTCCAGGTGGCTCAGTACCATTCCCCAACCCCAATAACCACAGACACTTTTCTCCCCCAAGAAACCGAAGCAAACATCACTTCCATATTCAAATGAATAAAGGAGACAAATGGGACTTGCCGTGTTAGCCTCCTCTGCCTTTACATTAAATTAAATTATTTAGGGTGCATTCATCTGGTAACCTTTCCAGTGCTGATGAATGAATTGCAGGGAACAAACTTTGTGGCATCTTCCTGCCAACCTTCACAACCAGCTGGCAGAGAGACTGGAGAACACAGGAAGCCCACAATTATGCTGAAAAATTACTACGTGTTCCATCACTTGAGGTACGGAGGGAGGCAGTCAATGCAGTCTTATCCCATAATACATTGGCAGAAATCCTGTTGCAGAGTTACACCAATGGCATAACTTTTGGATACGAACGGCCATAAGTTTAGAAATCTCCATAGGCATTGTCTCTAGCAGGTCAAGTCATTTGACTCCGTAAGCAACAGACAACGTCTACGGTGAGTTCTCAAATTGCAGCATTTTACTTCTTTCTTTCTTTATGTTCAGAGCATTGCACAATTTAAAATTATGGACATAAATAAAATACTGTATAAATAAAGTTCAAACAAATTTAAAATGTTAAAAGGATTAGACTAATTTTGACCGGACGTGGGCCATTTCCATAGCATTATCTCAGCCGTTTGCTAGATCTTCTTTTGCACACGTGGTGGGGCATAAATTACATGCACACAAATGTTCCATGGATTGAATTTCTCCATAGTTACAGAAAATTTGTCCTGTATTTGCTTCCTAGAGTTACCCTCTTTGTATAACAGCACGGCGAGGTTTCAGCCATTATCTGCCTGCCACCCGCTCAGCCCCAGAATTATGTGGGCTGCTACCATTTTTAATCCACTTATTACCATAGGACATACAGATGTTTGAGGATAGGTTCTCAAACGCAATGAAATATTACTTTAATAAGCGTGCTCTCAAACAACTATTTCTGTGTTTTCGGCGCACACATCCCACCCCAAAATGAATGGGTTTATGAGAAAATGGCGCATTCTTATAACAAAGATCTTCCCTTGGGGAAGCAGGCAAATCCACAAGGAAAAGGGTGCAGGTCGGTGGCCCCAGAACCATTATTTCACATTTAAAAAATGAAAAATGTGACTAAAAGATCCAGATGCATTACGTGGCAAGAACCGTCCATTTGAGTTTCTCTGAAATTTTGATAAGCAGGCAGGTACCTAACGAAACGGAAGAGCCACAAAACCGGAATGAGATGCCATGTTTGGACGGGAACCCGGAACACACAGCGCGAGAACCAGACTCGGTAGGACAAATGATGTAACAAAGGCATGCAGCTTGGAAGCATTCGATAAGGTTTCCTCTACCGCAACTGTGTTTAGGATACGTATCTGACAGAAAGGGTGGGGCAGAAAAGTGAACCCCAAAGGATCTCACAGGCCAGTGGTCTTAGCTGTGAGAGGGACTCGCCTCTCCAAAAGAGACCCAAGCCACTCCAAAATAGCGCCTCCGAGCCCTAATCCAGAGAGGTGGGCCAGAAGCAAGCCCTGCCAATTGCTGTGAAAACTGCCCCAAAGACTACCGGGCAGTCAAGAGGAGGTCCTGCCAGGACGTGCCGAGAAGCCTCCCTTGCTTTCCCGGCAACTACCATTAATTCCCTTGGAATTTTTCTTCTCTGCTCAGAGAGCTACTTCTTAAGAGTCATACCGGGCAAGATGATAGAGATCGATTTTTCAGAACTGCACAGCTAAACACAAAATCACAGTCTGTGTCTCACTGATTCTCTTTCCCTCCTGGTTCTGTCATGTGTGGGCCTCTATGTCATTAGCAAACCCTGCCTTCTTCCGTTGCCTCTCCTCTCCTTTCATCAACCTGCCCGATGCCCATCTTGCCTCTGACCCTGACGCGGTTCTACCGAGACTCTCCTCTCTGAAACAGAACTGCTCTGCTGTGAAAAGGTCATTCAGGGTTCCACCAGAAGGTCTCCCCACTCCCTCCCCACTTTTACTGACCATCTTGCAATCTTCAGATGCAACTTTCTCTCCTTCTGGATTGGAGAACTTGATCCCCATAAAGAGAGGGAGCACAGAAAACATTTTGGTTTTTTTTAAAGCATCCTGCAAAGGCTTTCAATCAAATAAGAAAACATACCGACACATGGAAGTACAGTGGTGCCCCGCATGACGACGATAATCCATCCTATTGAAATCGCTGTTTAGCAAAATCGTTTTGCAAAAAACGTTTCCCCATTGGAATGCATTGAAACCCGTTTAATGCGTTCCAATGGGGAAAAATCATCGTTTTCCAAAGATCATCCATAGGGCAGCCATTTTACCAAGTGCCGATCAGCTGTTAAAATTGCTGTCTTGCGAAGCATCGCTCCCGAAAACATAGGGAAGCTATTTTGTAAAGGTGCCAATCAGCTGTAAAAATCATTGTCTTGCGAAAAAACGGTCCACGAAGCATGAACCAAATCATCGTCCAGCGAAAATCGCCCATTGTAACCACTGTTTGGCGAATCGCTATAGCGATCATAAAACCCCATTGCCATGCGGATTCGTCGTTTTGCGAGGTCATCATCTAGCGAGGTACCACTGTACTCAATAGGGCAGAGAAATACCACAGCATTACCTTAGGCCCCCACCGGTACCATTCATCACTGGGATGAAGCTTCCCGGTCTCATCAGGACTTCATCCATGACCAGTTCTTCTGAATGAGGAGTGTGGCCTTTAAACCTTAAAGTGAGAGAAGAGGGGAACACATACCATATTAACCATGCACGGTGTTGACAGGAGAAGCTACACATGCTTTCACTCCTTCGTTCCCATCCTTTCCCGTCCCATTTTATACAGGAAGCAGGAAGTGCTTTCACTCCTTCGTTCCCATCCTTTCCTGTCCCATTTTATACAGGAAGCAAGATGAACAATGGCATAGCAGTCTCAAGCTTGAGACTGCTACACACTTACTTGGGAGAAGACAGACAGACAACAGACAGCTATCCTTTCACTGTCAGTCCCCAAACAGCAGGCTCCCAAATCAACCGTCTCCCCTGTCCTTTTCAGTGGCAAGCAAGGGTCTCAGCTCAGTCAGAAAGTGGTGAGGCCACGTACTGTGGAAATGCCTGTGAGAAATGGGACTGCCCAAGGAGTCACTTGAGAGCGGGGCAGAGAGGAAGGAAGCCTCAAATCTCTTGTTACCTTGAAGCTCAGTGTCTGCCAATAAGTCTTGTACTGCTGAATGTGGCTGCACTTCTGCTCCCTGCACAGAAGCACTCGCTCACCCCGTCCCAAACGCATGAAATCCACTGCCACAAGGCGGGACGATAGCCATCCCCAGCTTAAATGGGTGTAAAGGGCATAAAGCCATTTAGGAACACTGGAAGCTAGCTGAGACACCAATAGACCCTCAGGCCAATACTATCCACTCTGACCAGGCTCTGGACAGGATCCTTTCCCAGCCCTATCTGGGGAGAAACAGGATCGAGGACTAGACAGGCATTGAAAGGGATCCCGTAGGGTTCTTGTGGTGCTGGAGGAGACTCTTGAGAGTCCCCTGGACTGCAAAGAGAACAAACATGTCCATTTTGAAGGAAATCCACCCTGATTGCTCACTGGAAGGACAGATCCTGAAACTGAGGCTCCAATCCTTTGGCCATCTCATGGGAAGACTCCCTGGAAAAGACCCTGATGTTGGGAAAGTGTGAAGGAAAGAGGAGAAGGGGACGACGGAGGAGGAGATGGCTGGCTGGTGTCTGACCCAACTCCGGGAGGCAGTGGAAGACAGGAGGGCCTGGCAAGCTCTGGTCCACGGGGTCACAAAGAGTCAGAACTAAACAAGTAAATAACAACAAAGGGTTCTTGAGTCGCTGCTCCCAACTGAAGCAGATGTGCATCCATCCCATAATTTTGAAATGAGCCTCCTCTGTTCAGGCCATAACCTGCCCATCCCCCGTGATCATTGCTGTCATCAACAGCCTTATTATTATAACTGACAGTGGTCCTAGTAAGATTCCTAAATCCCACACTGTTCTTAGCCTACCCATACGTAAGTGTATGTAGACAAACCTGTGCATTGGGTGGGGTGTGTGGAGAGACCTTGCACCCCACAGAAGGCAAAGCCACAGATAAGGTTTTTTTAATATAAAAAAATCCTGGAGTTTAAATGCAGGACACAGTAAAAGGAATTAAACTCATTAAAAAAGAACTTTTTCTTTTAAAAAAACCAGAAAAGAGATTTCATCCTTTCAAAAACGGAGGAGCTGCGTTTAGCTATCACGGACCATATCGCTGAGAGACACATCTCTCCTCCGTCAACTTAATCAATACATAGGATGGAGCCGAGGGGAGACAGTAAAAGATGCCTCTGGTCTTTCTTCTGTAGCTCTTCTGCCAACTAGCACTTTACGGAAGGTGTAATCTTCTCAGCAGAAGCTGGATAGAGCAGATGTGAGGCTACACAATAATTTTTTTTTTTAAAGAGCGTAATTGCAGAGACATTTAAGAGTCCCACGGTTGGGCAGTGGAGGGCCTGCAGAATACTCGGAGCATGCTTTCAAAACAACAACACTGCCTCGCACAGACTTCAGCCCTTCCTCTCCTTCCCCCATTAGCGGGAGCATATGCATGGATTTTAGATATTTGATCATTAAAAATCCATCTGCTCCTACTTAGTTCTTCACCTTTGTTTGTGACCCCAGTAGTCTTCTAAAGTACACAGCTCTGATTGCCTCTGATCAAACAGGCATTTAAAAACCAAAGCAACACAGCTTGCTTCGGAGGAGCATCTTGCAGACAAAATAAGAGTTCAGGGACACCGGGAATCAGGGGAACAGCCCTCTTCTTGCCAGCCACAGAATCTCCCCTGCACACAAACCTTAGGGTAAGCAGGTGAGTGGAAACATTCGCCCTTGGTGCTCCATGACTCGGCTTTGGGAAGCCACCTGCTACTCACAATAGGCCACTGCCTAAGCCGTTCATCACGGCCATCCCACAGAAAAGCCCGTTTATCTCCTAATGTTTTTATTTACTGGAGCTTTGTCCGCATTCCTGCAAGAATTGGGCTCCCCACCTGCCTCCATCTGTCCCTCCATTATCCCCTTTTAAATATCTGGGTAGCCCAACTGCTTCGACCGCTGTCGCTCACTCACCACGGCTCATTTGGACCAAATAGTAGAGCTGGCCCTTCAGAAGGGAGACCCTTCCAACTCAAGACATGTTTCACGTAATGACACAGATGCCTTTCAGAGATCTGTGAGTCCTGGGCTTCTTGGTGAGCACAGGGTCACTTGTGTTGTTGGGAAGGAGAGCAATGCAGTCTGCAGGTACGCAAAACCTATCAAGAGAGCCTCCCATTTCAGTAAAAGTCCAGAGGTAAATGCTGATGCAGCACACTTGCTAAATACAGGAAATCCCAGGGTCTTCAGTTAAGAGAAGAGGAGAAAGATCTCTCTTGGCCTAAGACATTGGGGAACGGGTCTCCATAGTCCACCTACAGCAAAACTGGAATACTGCAGCAGATGCACCAAGGGTTGATTGTAAAAATCTCCACCGTCTCTATTTAAAAATAAGAATAGTAATCAAATTCCTACTACTTTCTAATACTTAGGTAGCCAATTCCTGTTCCAGAGATAGTTTGGAATACTGAATTAAGAGCTTGCTCTGAACCCATCACAAATGAGATCTAGATTTCTTCTGGATTGTATGAGGCTCAGCCTCTCCACAAGGCACCACAGTTGGGATTGTTCTTTCTCTTACATGGTGAGACAAGTAGTACTAGGAAAGGACTTTTGCTGGCTGCCAAGAAATGGTGCTTGTAGGTTTCTCAGGCTCTTTGGCCATGTTCTGGAGGTTGTTCTTCCTAAGATTTCGCCAGTCGCTGTGGGGCCAGCATCTTCAGAGGACAGGAGTCAGAACTCTGTCTCATCACAAGCAGGCCACAATTAGACCAGCACTGACCGCTGGACCTTTACTGAAATGGGAGGCTCTCTCGATGGGTTCTGTGTATCTGCAGACTGCATTGCTCTCCTTCCCAAAGAGAGACATTGTGCTCACCAAGAAGTCCAGGACGCAAGGATTTCTGAACGACTCTGTCTCTGGGGTACAGTCAGAGTTCTGATTCCTGTCCTCTAAAAGGCCGGCCACAGATACTGGCGACACGTTAGGAAGAACCACCTTCACAATACAGCCAAACAGCCCAAAAAACCTACGAACCACCATCTGATCCCGGCCATGAAAGCCTTCGAGAAGACATTAAACTTGGCGGCCCTAAAAGTCCTGCATCCCAGGCTCCAGCCTATTAGATTCCCTTGAAGAGGCTCCCTGGTCAACCAGTTTTCTCTAGTGGGAGCTGGTGCACAAAGGAGACAGGATGAGGCCAGAAGACCTCTTCAGCTATGATGTGACTCACTCCCAGCAATATCCCCGTTATAATCTGGTCTCTGGGGCGGAGGTCCGGCATAACACCCCACACCACTCTGAAGTCCCCAGATGATTTCCCCTAGCTTTTGAAGGTTATGCTAGTGATATTTTGCTACTGCAATAAATAACGACAGCACCTCCTACGAGCGCACAGGCCTCAAAACAAATGAGTTTCCAAGCATGGAAGGCAGAAGCCCTGCATGACACAAAAACATTCCTTTCTTTTAAAGACTGTCTTGCAATTTGCTCCTGGAATTCAGCAGTGTGATAGGGAACAGAAATCTGGTAGAGCCATGAGAGGGCAAAGGACTAAAGGCAGCAGGAATGCCTACCCTGAAAGAAAGGGAAAGTGTCAAATGCATGTTATTCTGAAGCAGCATAGGCTGGGCTTGGTTTCTCTTCGAAGTTGCTGAGCCTTCGCCCCCGAGGAAGCATTACAATAATCAAAACCCATGCGGCAATCAATGATCTTAGAGCTTCTTTGTGGTCTCCTCTTTTTAGTCGTTATACACAGGTATCTAGCTCAGAGTAGAACCATGCTAACTACCGCAACTGGGTTTGCCACGCAGGCACTAGGGCTTCCCGTAGCAAATGTGGGTGTCCAACATGCATCCTTCAACACCACCCTACGTGTATCAAGTCATCACAACATGAACCGCCACCTCAGGAGAGTGTATGAATTAGTTTAACATGAACATCATCCCATCACACGTTTGGAAGAATTGCTAGATCCGTAAGCACCCCCACAAAGAACACAACATGTATGAAAAGCATAGAGCTGATTGGAACCATGTTGCACGAGAGCCTTTTGGGTACAAAGCTTTTCGTCCCCTCCACAGGCTAGCCATCCCATCACACGTTTGGAAGAACTGCTAGATCCGTAAGCACCCCCACAAAGAACACAACATCTATGAAAAGCATGGAGCTGATTAGCAACCATGTTGCACGAGAGCCTTTTGGGCACAAGGTTTCTCGTTCACTCCACAGGCTAGTTGCACACTTCTGTTTTCTGCAAGGCAACTGGAACTAATCAGAAGGACCCGGAACGCTGCCTTAGATTGAGTCAGCCCACCTAACTCTGCACTGTCAAATCTCACTGGCAGCCACTTTACTGAGTTGTGTGTGGGATTCTCTCTGAGCCCTTCCTGGAGACCCTTGGGACTCCTTAGTCATGTCTTGCATTTACGTGCCAGCCATCCCAGTTTAGCTTCCAAAAACAGGTGAGATGAGGTGCCTTCTGGATACTATGGTCAAATCAGAACCCTCTTCTCTATTTACTCCTGAAAAGCTCTTTGTGAAACAAAACTGTATCTCCCCCCTTTATTTATTTATTTTTATTTATTTATTAGATTTATACCCCGTCCCTCTAGACCATGTCTACTCGGGGCGGCTTTATCTATAGAACCTTCAACTTTCAGACGCCAACGAGCTTGGACCTCTTCTCAATCTTTTCCCATCTTTAGTTATGGGTGAAGCAGAAGGAGCTAACTGCTAAGTCAGTCATTCTCCTGTTAGCTTCTTCAGCTTTTGTCTTTAAACCACTGGCTTTCTTTCAGAACAAAAAACACCGTGCTGCCATTATGAGGTGAATAACCTCATCATCAAAAGCACGGCCTGGTACATCATATTTCTTTGTTGGCTCCACAGAACAAGAGTTTGCGGTCATGTACGGCAATGACTTTTTCTTTGCCTGTGAGGATGGGGGGAATAGATTTGTAACCTTAATGTAGAAAAAGCTCAGTGAAAGGAAGAAGGCTGTAAAAGCTCGTGATGTACCATATTCTTTCACTCTAGCACTTCAACTAGTACATACTAAACTTTCACATATGCAAGCTATTTGCAGCGTAGCTCTGGCCAAACAGCTCCCACGACATCCACAGATACTTAAAGCAAATCAGATGCCGTTTCAGAATGCATGCTTTTCGGTAAATTAGAAAGCTTTTTTTTGTGTTTTATGAAGTTCTTCAGGGACCTGGAAATCGGTTCAAAACAAGTTTTGAAGATCAACCCACCCATCCTCTGATATTGACCCAACAGACATGTCCCCTGACCCACTTCCTCTAAGGCAGCAGGTTCTCCTCAGATAGGGACGCTATTCCTGCGGAAACTGGTCTTCCACAGAGCAACCCGAACTCACCGATTGTAATCAAGCCGGGACTGGTGGAGCTGCTGTTGCTGAAGCAGCAGTTTCGCCTCCTGCTTAGCTAACAAATTCTGAAGGCGCTCCTTCTCAATCTCCAGCTCTAGCTTCTGTAGCTGGAGCTCCTTTCTTCTTTCTTCCGGCAACCTTTTGCCGCGCTCTGTTTCTTTCGATCTCAAATCTGCGCTGCGGCTCAACGGGACTGGCTGCGGTGGGCGAGAGTAATCGGCCGAGGACTCGCCACGCGGCGAGGAGTATCTCTTTGGAGTGTGGCAGCCATCTTGGAAAGGGCTGTGCTCTGAATTTCCTGGTTTCTGGTGGAAAAAACAAGTTTGAAGAGGACAACTGTTCTTCCTGGGGTCCATGTCAGGGGTTCTTTTAACATGGGGAGGCACCTTCTGCTCTGGTGGGGACACCAGATTGTTGCGCTTTCCGTGCACCCCATTTTCCAACAAGAATCCATTCCTATCTTCCTGGCAAATACCCTGTGGCGATGCTCCAAGAACTCCACCGTTTCTACAAGGCTGGGCCAGAAATATGGAACTAGAACTTCCACACGCCATTCTGTCATTCTTGTATAAAGTTTGTGGCCTGGCTACACTAAGGTAGGACCCATCCAGTTCCGACGATGGCAGGGACTGACAGACGGTTCGCTGGTTAACCATCTATAAGGAACAAACAAACAAAGACGGGTGTGGATTAACTTGAGCAATTGAAAACATCTTTAATTGTCCATTTTCTAGTTCTAGTCACTGGCTCACAGCATAAAAAAACGTGTACCTCAGAAGGCTAGAAAACAGTTTGATGATCGACACCTAGTGCAACTCAACCGAAAATGGTTTTCAAATGGAAGAGATGAACATGCCATCAAATCTGCAATTTAATTCCGTCTACACAGGTACAATAAATATAAAACCACTGCCTGCAGGATGTGGGGCATAAACAAGGCACTTCAGCCTATCAAGAAGTTGCGAGTACCTAGGGTTACATAAAATCAACTTGAAGTGTGGCAAAAAAAGCATTAAATGTTAATGTCTGAAAATGTTTAATTTTGAATACGGAGCCAAGAAATCCATTCAGCCACTATAAATACCGTCTGATTGGCCATTACACAGCAGGGGATTTGATGTAAAACATTTCACCTTGCACTGAATGGGATATTACTTACTGTTGGAAATTTGATGAGAGTTTTTGAAATATCCTTACAGAAACACTGATAAAGAACTACATCACTTCCCGTAAAATACGGTTCTACATCAAAAGCTGTCATTCAACTACAAAACACGTTAAAATCCTATCATAAAAGTGATTTTTTTCAATTAAGCTGGGCTGGTGATGAGACTCCGATAAAACTCCGAAGCTAGAAAGACACATTAATTTGCAACCAACTTGGGGGGGGGCGGGGGGGGAGACACAAAGTCCACAGCTTGCAGATTTCTTGTTAATGACTATTCAAGAAACACAGTCGGGACCACAACACCCTCTTGGCACTAAGTCCAATAATATATGGGAGGGGAGATAGAACTTTTCAAACATTTGAAAGACAGTCATAGAGAGGAGAGGCAGAATCTCTTCTTGGTCACCTCAGAGTGCAGGACACACAATAATGGGCTCAAGCTACAGGAAGCCAGATTTCAGCTGGATATCAGGAAAAAACTTCTTAACTGTTAGAGCGGTACGACAATGGAAACAATGACCTTGGGAGGTGATGAGAACTCCAATGCTTGAAGCATTCAAGAGGGAACTGGACAACCGCCTGTCAGATCTGATTTGATTTGGATTCTTGTATTGAGCAGGGGATTGGACTGGATGGCCTTATAGGCCCCTTCCATTACTCTATGGTTGTGTTCCCCTGCACTTAGTGCTCAAGGACCCTCTTAAATCTCAACAATAAAGGCAGTCCCCAAACCACCAAAACCAGGGAGCTGAAGACTGGATGGCCTTATAGGCCCCTTCCATTACTCTATGGTTGTGTTCCCCTGCACTTAGTGCTCAAGGACCCTCTTAAATCTCAACAATAAAGGCAGTCCCCAAACCACCAAAACCAGGGAGCTGAAACAGATCGTCAAAACCAGGGAGCTGAACAGGGGACAGATCGTATTTGTCTTCAAGGTGGAAGGGATGGTCACTCTCAGATTGGACTTCTCAGCCACACTAGACGCTATTCCAAGTCCTCCATTCAGAGCATGTTACCATCGTCTCTCGAGTCTGAAGGAGGCCTAATCTAATGTTATATTCTACCTCTGTTTCAGAATGATTATTTAAGATTCAAGGAACCACCAGCATTCCATGGCTTAAACTAGGGTTCAGGAAGAGAACCCAAATGTTTCAATGGGAAGTGTCCCTGGGAAAACTCTAAAACCTGTGGCTGCTGTTGAAGCGAAAGGTCTTCTCCAGGAGAACCATGAAGCTGATTCACATATTAAAGTTACAAATTTACATTCTGGCTCAATGACGGTGGTTCCATTGCCTTCCAAGTTTTACTGAACAAGATAAATTCAGTAAGAATGTAAGGAAACTGTGTACTTCTGTACAAACATGTAGGTTTCTGTACAAACAGAGTAGACTTCAATCTAGATGGGTGGGGTATGAATGAATGAATGAATGAATGAATGAACTAACAAACAAACAAACGATCTCCCCATATTCCCCTTCTTCATTTTACCCCAATGCCACTTGGCAACTGCATTCTCATTACAGTTGTACCTCACAAGACGACGACCCCGCTAAACAACGAATCCGCATTACAATAACTTTTTGCAGTCGCTATAGTGATTCGCAAAACAGTCATTCCAATGGAGGATTTTCGCTGGACGTCTATTAGGTCCATGCCTCGCGAACCATTTGTTCGCAAGATGACGATTTTTCCGGCTCTGCAAAATGGCTGCGCTGTGTTTTCTGGACTCATGCTTCGCAGGGCAGCCATTTTTATAGCTGATTGGCGCTTGCAAAATGGCTTCCCTGTGGGCAATCTTTGCTGGATAACAAGGTATTTTCCCCATTGGAACGCATTAAATGGGTTTCAATGCATTCCAATGGGCATACTGATTTTGCATGACGATGATTTCACTAAACAGCGATTTTCCCGGAACTGATTATCGTCGTCATGTAGGGCACCACTGTAATTTTCCATTTTGGTTGGAGAAGAGGCTCACCCATCACCACCCAGTATCTACAAGAAGCATAAATTGGTACGAATATCCTCAAAGAGAAAAGCCACAGACATCAACAATTCTCTTTGTGTTGTACTCTCAAAGCTGAGGAATTGTAGCCCTCTTGCAAAGGACTTTCTGATTCATTCCCTGGTTTGAGAGAATACAGGGAAAGACAGACCTTGGAAATTTTTCTGACTACAAGTTCCAGAATCCACAATCAGCATGGCCACCAGCTGCATGGTCACAGTGAAAGAAGCACCACAGAAACGCGAAATGAAGAAAGACTAGCACCTTACAATGATAGACTAGATTATGTAGGAAGGCCTTTAAAAAGCAGAATTAAGATGTATTAAGAGAATCCAATTAAAAACTCACGATATTATTAGAAGATCTAATATTAGCTAACATCTTCAGATCATGATTCAGAAGATGGGTAACAACAGCATCCCAGCCCCTTTTCCACTGAAAAACAAAATTAGGAGGAGGTATCGTGCAGGAAAAGGAAGTGGGAACTGGGTGCTGAAAGCTCAGATTTTCATCAGGATAAGAGTCTGATTCCTCACTGTGCAGCCCAGGAGAAGAGGCAGCCTGTGTAGCCTTTGGCAAGTTGGAAAGTCTCAGGGTGCCCCCAGAAAGAACAGCAAATCATTTCTAAGTATTCTATACCTAGGAAACTCTGGAAAGAGTGGCTTTAAGTCAGAATTTATTTAATGTTGTGTAATTAATGTTATTATTACTATTGCTACACAGCCTAGGTCTCTCTCTCTCTGTTTTATTTTACTACCAGCCTATGAGGTAGATCTTCTTTATGGTCCAGTTGAGAGCTGGACCATAAAGAAGGCTGACCGTGAAAGAATTGATGCTTTTGAATTGTGGTGCTGGAGGAGACTCTTGAGAGTCCCCTGGACTGCAAGGAGATCACACCTATCCATTCTGAAGGAAATCAACCCTGAGTGCTCCCTGGAAGGACAGATCCTGAAGCTGAGGCTTCAATCCTTTGGCCATCTCATGAGAAGAGAAGACTCCCTGGAAAAGACCCTGATGTTGGGATAGAGTGAAAGCAAGAGGAGAAGGGGACGACAGAGGACGAGATGGTTGGACAGTGTCATTGAAGCGACCAACATGAATTTGACCCAACTCTGGGAGGGAGTGGAAGATTAGAGGGCCTGGCGTGCTCTGGTCCATGGGGTCACAAAGAGTGGGACACAACTTAACGACTAAACAACAACGACGTGAGATAGGTTAGATGGAGAGATTATAATTATCCCAAGATTGTCAAGAGTGTTGTGCATGTGCAGGGTTTTGAACCTCAGCTCCCTTAACTGGTCCAACACTTTAACCTCTGCATCATCATTCAATTTCATTCAGAGAAGCTATGAAGCCAGAATGAATCCAGAAAGCATCCTTGTCTTCAAGCTGTCCTGCTACCAAGGTCTCTTGAGAGTCTTCCAGAGGGCCCATGAACAAGGCTGGCGGCCCATTTGGAAAGACTCTTCTGTTGCATGGCATGGGCTCTTAGAAACATTTCACCCAAAGGCTGCACCGGATGGCCTGACAGGCTCTCCATGAAATATAGCATATGGGGGACTCAAGCCAAATTTCCAATGTTGGAAAAGGTATTTCTGATTTTCAAGCACTGTTCACATTTGAAGCTGGCCTTGCTTGTCTTTATCCATCGCCCGCTAAGAAGGGATTCGGCTGCCCCACTCCTGCTGGCCAGTGGGTTTTCGACTCTCTGCAACAGACAACTGCAAAGCAGTTTAGGTAGTCATAGTATACTTTTGTTGAAAGAGTTATTAGAAAAAATTTTACTTGGAAGAATATGCAAAATTAAGACTGAAGTGAAAGATATCTAACATTAAGGCTCATTCCTTTTATTGCCCAATCTTTTACCGAAATCTCTGTTACGAGAGAGAGAGAGAGAGAGAGAGAGAGAGAGAGAGAGAGAGAGAGAGAGAGAATTTTAAGATTAATCATTACAAAGCACTTAGATGGGACAGAGATTGCTGATATTAATACCCGAAGATAAATAAGGTAGATAACAATGTAAAAAGGTTAGTTGCCTATTTTCTTAGCTGGAGATAAAGTGCCATTGTTGCTCATGAATGATGTATGATCATGATTGCTGCATTTCAAGTGTGCCATACAAAAAGAAAGGAAGGGGGGGGGAAGAGGACGATGAGAAGGTAATAGCAACAAAGCTACATTGTTCTCCTCTAGCTCAGCGCCATTGGTGGGGACGCACAAATGTGGTTTCTAGGAAAAAAGTTATGACACTAGAAAACAGACCCCTGCCAAAACAGCATCGACCAACAATGTAAGAGACACAGACTTCTTGGTTCAAAAGGCAAGTTAACAAACACCACATTTAGCTGTTTTGCCCAACTCCAAGGGAGGCCCAGGGATGCAAAGATGCCAGTTTGTAAAGAGAATTTTATAGTGACATAAAGCACAAATGTTGGCATTGTCTCTCAGGGAAATTAAACCCCTCCTACAGAATTATGGCTACT